AGGGGAGGGAGGGGAAAAATGAGGACCTAATGCCGGGGCCTTAAATGTAGAGGAAAAGTTTTGAGAATGATGAGGGCGATGAATGTACAAATGCGCTTTACACAATTGATGTATGTATGGATTGGGATAAGAGTTGTATGAGCCCCTAATAAAATGATTTAAAAAAAACAACCAAAACGAGCATCATGATCAAATTGGTTCCAAGTCAGTCACCCTCAATAGGGTTTCCGTGGCTGTAAATCTTTATGGAAGCAGACAGCCTCACCTTTCTCCCATGGATAGGTAAGCTCATGGGTTTGAATCATAAACCTTCCAGTAGCCCAACACTTACCCCAGAGTACCACCAGGATTCTCTCCAAAAGCAGTATAGGCCACCCATAATGCACCATTTCTGAAGCCCAGCTCCTCCCAACAGCAAATTTTATGCGACAATTTGGCCACATTGTCAGCAAAGAGCCAGACCACACAAGCCTGGTCATCAGACACAGGAGTCTTCTGGTGCCAATCATTTTCTAATCAGCGTGAGATTGCCTCTCCATAATATTAATGAACTTTGATCTAGGGCATGGAATCAGTTCATCCCACTTAGAACCCCTGCTGAGAATTTGCATTTCCTGCCCCATAGACTGAATCAGAATCCACAGTTCAATGAAACCTGGGGTGATACTTAAATACCCTCCAGTGGGGTAGGTCCAGGAAAGGTAATGGGTTGCAGAATGAGAATCCAGGGCATGATAAAAATTATTCTGTTTTTGCAGGCTTCGTGGAGGAGGTGAATGCACAGTAGATATGGGTTCCCAAAGAATGGGTTTCACAGCCCAGAAGGAAGGAAGAAGCTCATAGTCCATGGAGGGGCCCCGTGGACTACCATGCTTTTGATATCCACTCACTGAGATCCAAAGGCGTGGTCTTGCTTAGGGAGGGTGGTGGGCCAGGTGATTGCTGGCTGGGGCAGTGGAAAACGGCTTCTTGGAAGTGAATACCACGCCATCAAACAAAGAGCTGGCCATATTTTGGAACTATTTCCTTCTTCTCTTTCAGCCTTCTAGGCCAGCATGATTTCCTCAATCCTAGGTTTTGAGGCTGTAGTTTGAAACGGATTCGACAAGGAGTTTTAAGCCAAAAGGAGCATAGCTTTGCATTTGTTTTTGTCTGAGCAGGCTTTTTCTAATGCTTATTCAAGCAACTGGCTTTCAAATTTTGATATTCCTTAGAATCACTTGGGGAAGTGATTCTCAAAACGTAGTCCTAGAGCAGCAACATCCGCATCACCTGGGAAATTGTTAGAAACACAAATTTTAATCCCCTCCCCAGACCTGCTCATTCAGGAACTCTGGTGAAGGCAGCAGTGATTTACCTGTTTTTACAAACACTCTGGCTGATTCTGATGCAGCCCACGTTTGAAAACCAGGTTTTGACTACCATTCACATAGAGTCTGATATGGGCAATCAGACATCTTGCCAATCATTGCAGTATTTTTATAGGTCCCATCTCAGTCACTTTCCTACGTAGACCTCAGAATCCAGCTTCTTCCTCCCAAACTCCTCCATGTTATTGGGGGTACTTGGCCCTAGTATCCAACTCTTAGCAATGCCATTTCCTATGGAACAATGTCTAGGCACCTCAATGACGGCATCTAAAATAGGCAGTAGCAAGACCAGTCCTGCAGGCCTGTAAGGATCCAAGATGGTGTGGGTGTGAAGTGTCTGATCTGACATCAGAAGCTTGGGAGACAACACTGCCTTCCACCTCATCCCAAACTAAGAGATGTGACTTCTGGACCCTTATCTCATGGACCCAACTCTGTGGGCAACAGAAATGGCTATGGGCTTCTCTGAAAAGATGGCTCCTTGGAAGTGTTTGGAGTCAATGTGTGCCTTTTCATAGATCAAAACTGACTACATCAACTCTTCCCTGGCCCCATCCTGAGCTCCTTTCCTCCTCAGAGCCCGCTGGAATTATAGTCACTGTGATTCTTTCAAGTACTAAATGTTCTCCTTGCCCCATCCAACCTGCAAATGATTAGATACTCTGTCACAAAGACTCCAATGTGGGTGTAGACTCATGCGAGGGGACTTCAAGAGCAAAATCTAGGAACAAAACCCTGTCCTATATTTTGATATGAGGTGATGTCCTCGCTCTTTTTGTTTTTAAATTCATTTGTCTGAAAATGGGTGCATATAAAAATGTGGTGAAGAAAGAGGATGGTGCCTGGCTTTCAAAGGATATAGTTTCTTGGATCTTAAAGGCTTGAAGCTAAAAAAGCAGCCGTCTAGCAGGGAAGCAATAAAGCCCATGGAAGAAATGCACTGGCTGTGTGATCATGAGGTGTCTATGGGATCAGGTATCAAAAGATCCAAAACAGCCAACTATATCAATGCGAACCAGGGAGGTCAAATTGGAGACCCAAAGTCCATCTGTAGACAATTGGACAACCCCTTCACAGAAGGGTCGCAGGAAGGGACAATGAAACACACAGCATTCCTCTAGTTCAGCCATTCTCACCCTGTGGGTCATGACCCCTTTGGGGGTCGAACAACTCTTTCTTTCACAGGGGTCACCCAATTCATAAAAGTAGCAAAATGACAGTGATGAAGTAGCAACAAAAATAATTTTATCATTGGAGGGTCACCACAACAAGAGGAACTATATTAAAGGGTCATGACATTCAGAAGGTTGAGAACCACTGCTCTAGTTCCTGAATGCCCTCCTCCTCCCCACTATCATGACCCAGTTCTACCTTACAAATCTGGCTAGACTGGAGTAGCTACATTGGTACAGATAAGAGCTCTGGACACATGGAATCCAGGACAGATAAGCTCCTCAAGCACAGCAGTGAAAGTAGTGATTCCATGAGGGGAGGCAGAAAGGAGGGGTAGAAAGGGTAAACTGAGCACAATGTTGGATATAACGCACACACACACACACACACACACACACACACACACACATACTCCCCACCATGAGGGGAACAAATAATAGAAATGTGGGTGGTGAGAGACGATGGATGGTGCAAGATACAAAATAACAATAATAATATATAATTGATCAAGAATTCACAAGGATGTGAGGGAGGGGGAAAAAAGAGCTGATACCAAGGGCTCAAGTAGAAAGAAAATGTTTGGGAAATTTTGATGGCAACATATGTACAAGTATGCTTAATACAATTGAATTATGGATTGTTATAAGATCTATAAAAGCTCCCCAATAAAATAATTAATAATAATAACAATTCATTTGTCTGAAATGGTGCTACTTGGATCAGGTCTGTGAAGCTAGAGATAATTTCAGTTACCTCTCATCCCCACCCCTCACCTCTACCCCCATATTACATGGAAGAAAATGCACCCCAGGAAAACACACACACACACACACACACACACACACAGAAGTGCCATGGCACTCACTTGCTATAGAAAACACAGTCTTGAGTCCAAGTTCATGATTTTCTTCAGGTTGATACAAAACACTTTCTTCTGGAGATGTAAGCTGAATATTACCATTGGCAGCTTAATATTGGCAGCTGAATATTACCATTGCCCTGCCAGAAGTAGAAGCAGGCATCATTGACAGAAGTCCAGTAGAAGTCTGTGGTAACTGGTGCCAATCTCACAGGCTGGCATGGAGGAGGAACTGACTTTTTCAGAGTGAGGAGAAAGGGGAACCAAACAACAGGGGAGACTGCTCAGTTGCCATCACCTGTCGTTCCTGAGGAGACTTTGATGAAGCAGCCATACTTCTCAGAGATAAGTTTGGAACATTTGGGTGTGTATTGCCTTACAGCTAAATTAAGACTCCAAACTCTTCAAATCAGAGCACCAGCAATCCCATCTTCTTAGCACTCCAGGTCCTGAGGGCACAGGAGATTGTCATAGTAGCACTCAAAACACAGAATCTTCCAGAATCTCAAATCCGTGTTCTTCCACAAAACTTATGACTTCAACTTCTGTTTCATTGGAACCAGCTTTCTGTAAAATAAAACATCCTTTTGAAATGTCTCAGCGTACTTTTCATTCCTTGGCACTCTTGACAATAGGATTTAGTTTGAAAATTTCCCCCCATATAAAACTCGTGACTCATCACTGGAGAAAACGTAGAAAATACAGTAGGAAGAAAGGAACACATCACCTCTAAATTCTTCCTTCCAACACAGCCCATTTATTCAGTCTCTTCTGCTGGACACAGTCTTTACAGTCACACTGTATGCACTACTTTAAGAATGGATTTGTTTCTGTGTGCTCACGTACATCTTACACTGGAATTATTCCTTTAGATATGCCATTTTAATCAACTCACTGCCCTAAGTCAATGCTGACTCAGCACAACTCCCTGTTGGTTTCCAAGACCGTAACTGTTTACAGAAGTAGAAAGCCCAGGCTTTCGCTGGAGTTGCTGCTGATGGTTTTGAACAGCTGACCTTGCATATCTCAGCCCAACTTGTCACTACGACAGTACCAGGGCATTTTAATGAGTGCCACACGATTCCATCTGTAGTTGAACACTCTCCTAAAGCTGAATGTTTTGTTAGACCCAATTTTGGCTAACATAAATAATGATTATATGACATAAAGAATCCTGACAAAAGGCAAATTTTTTCATAGAAAACAATACCACCTCATTTCCTCATGCAACACATTTTAAAATATCTACATTAGCCATTGTGCTAAGCAGTGAGGAGAAAGACATACATGGCCATTGCCTTCCTATACTTTAGTTTATCATCTGCTTTTATTTTGGAAAGAACTTTCTTTCCTCCCCTATAGGACAGAGAAGTCTCCATAGGGTTTCTTAGACTATAAAGATTTACTGGAGCAGCTAGCTCATCTCTTTCCTACAGAGTGACTGGTGGGTCCCAACCACCAACCCTGAGGTTGGCAATCCAGCAACGAGACCAGTATACCAGCTGGGCTTTTAGGGGGAAAGGGCCAATGACCTCCCATTGGAGAATCAAACCTTTGTGTTCTGAGCGATATATGGGGATGCTCTCCCTGTGCTAGTGAGGATGTGCCATGTTGTTTTAAGTAGACCTTTTGGTTTCTAAAGTCCAGCTTATATATTTTCCCTTTCCCCCAGGTATATATCTCTAATGTTAAAAAAAATATCAGACGTGTGTACAAGCAAACATTTCCTTAACACAGAACCCAGGGATGGCAGGACTGTGGCTGCCCCTGTCAAACTTCAAGATTCAAACTGTAAATACGAGAAGAGGGTTTGCATTCCCTACACGCTGAGCCACCACTTCGGTGGTGAGTCAGACTACCACACTGCCACACCAGCGGCACCAACTGGAGTCCTTTGTAACAGAGGAACCAAGGTGGTAGCTTTTGCCTATGAGGTAGAGTTGGGGGCAGACGTCTAACAGGAAGACTACAAAATGTTTCTGACAACATGGGATTAAAAAACGGAATTTGCCATAAGCTTTTCGAAGCCTCCTCACATCTGGCTCAGCTGTGGACCACTCCACCTTCTGTAACATACTCCTTTATGTGAGAATTTTACATCATAAGGCTGACATCACAGGCAAAACTGCATTTTCCCAATTCTCTGCCTCTTTTGATGAGCGCGCACATGCACCTCCCTTCCCTTCTTTCTCTCCCTCCTCCCCTCTCTCTTTCATCATGAGAATGTGCCATGTGAGCAAAGAGTGAGTTTTCCTGAGAAGTCAGCAGGGCTGAGCTCTGACATTAATCCTTTGCTGCTTCAGAAACTTGCTTGTCTACCCCAAGTTGTTATTTTGCACACATGACATGATTTTAATTAAAAACAAACCTCAAGCTTATACTAAAAGCTCTTAAGCCAGTTTCTTTCACAACCCACGGAATATTAAAGGAACTCTTTGGGGGCACTGTAGGGAAATTAGATACCAACATTAAGATGTTCCATCAAGAGGCCAGGACAAATTACTTCCGTCTGCTGCTGAAATCAAATGCAGTTTCTCAGCGATGTGTGTGCCAGAGCATAGTGGGCTGGCTAGCTCGTGTTCAGATGAGTTGAAAACCAAGTTTCATGCTGGGACCCACATGCCTTTCGGAAAAGGATAAGGGTCTGCAAAGCTGAGAGTTGCTCCCCAGATCATCACATGGATCAAAGCCAGGGTGGGACAAGTTGGACATCCTCGATACTCAGCTTCACTAGACTAGTAACCACTATGGTCTAATATCCTTCCAAATGCTGAAGCGCCAAACTGAAGAAAGGCCACCACATAGGAAAGTCACCCATTTCTGAGCTTTTAACCTACATTTTTGTATCACTGCAAATAGTCACCAACTGGTTCATCCAAACATTACTTACTTCATCAGAGAGAAAACTGAATTTATTGAGGGAAAAGTGCTTTGAACCAGAGTCAAAAACCTGCAGTCCATCAACCAAATCTGGCTGTTGCCTTCTTTTGTAAAGAGTTGTATTGGAACTCGGCCATACTCATTCAGTTACATATTACCACTGACTGCTTCCACATTACAAAGGCAGAATCAAGTGGAAGTCTTGACAAAAACTACTTGGTCTTCAAATATTAACTTCTGGCTCTTTACAGAAAAAGGTTCCCTGACTCCTGATCTAAATTACCCATCAGATTAGTGATACAGTTGACAAATGATATGCAAGAACAAAATACTAGAAATGTAAAAACACTGCCAACGTAAATCAAAGGATACCTAAGTAAATGGAAAGAGATACTGTGTTCACAGACCAGAAGACTCAATCTCGTTTTCTTCTTGCCACTTCTCCCCCAAACCAATCTATAATTCAACAAAACCCCTATTAAAATCTCAGCAGCCTTCTGTACAAAACTGATATGCTGACTCTAAAAATTATAGAGAAATGCAAATAAAGTAGAATATCCAAAAATAACTTTGAAGCACCAGCTGATTCCCAGGCGATTAGATAGTCTGCTTTTTAGAAAGATTTGCAGCCTTGCAAGCCTATGGGGTAGTTCTACTCTTTCCTGCCAGGTTGCTGTGAATTGAAACTGAGTCCCGAGCAGTGGGTTTGGTTTTGGTTTTAAACTACCTGGTCTCAAGATTTACTGTTAAGTGTGGTGTTGGTGTGATGATGGGCTACCTGATCAATGAGTCTGAGCACATTCCAGAATTAGTTCAAAGCTGGTTTTGTTTGTTTTTTAAAGTGGGTTTTAATAAAGTTGCCAAGCTATCCATTGGGAGAAGAGAATGACTTTTCAACAAATGGAGCTCAAACAATTGAATAGTTACAATTCAGGTTACCCTAAATGCTCTGAGTGGTGAATAGAATCTTTTTTAAAAAATGTATTGGGCAAAATCCTCACTTGTGTTCGCTATCATTCTATATACTAATGAATTAAATTCCCAACGAAAATTCCTTTTGGATAGGAGGCCTGCTTGTAATAACAGATTTTTAAAACATTAGCAGTAAGCAGGGCTTTGAACGATCTCGTCTTTGCTCCTCACTAAACAGAAAGGAAGTCTAAGCTGATAGTCCTGAGAGAATTGTTCATCAATAATCAACCCGAAACCAAACTCGTCACCACCGAATCGTTCCAATGCACAGTGGCCCTGGAAGACAAAGTAGGAGGTGCCTGAAGAGTTCCCAAGGCTGTCTACCTCACCTTTCTTCCACAAACAGTTGGTAGATTCCAGCTGCTGTCCTTTCATTTAGTAGTCAAGCACTTAACCACTTTGCCACCAAGGCTCTGTACGGTCAGCAGAGATGGCTCATATGAAATTACAATTCAAGTCTGACTTTTCTCGACAGTAAAGACAATAATGAACATGTATCGACAAACAGTAAACTTCTGAAGAAATGAGGGACTCCTGATCTCCTGGGTAAAATCCATGCCTTATAATCTTCAAATCCAAATGCCACTCACGGTTCCCTTCAGTCGTTACCTCAGAGTTGGGGCTTACAAAGAGCTCCTGAAGGTTGTTTTTAGGTGCTGGAACTGGTGGAAACAACTTGGTCCATAAGTGACAACTGGAAGGAAAGGCAAAAAATGAAGTGCTCATTCCCGTCTTTAAGTATCTACTTAAAAAATTGGCCAATTCTAGAACCTTCTGCTTTGTGAATTCAAAATTGTTATTGACCACACATTCCATATAGCCAGTCCGACCCATGGCAACACATGTGTATCAGAATAAGACTGCGTTCCATGGAGTTTTCAATGCATGACTTTTCAGAAAAAGATTGACAAGCCTTTCTTTCAAAGCACCACTTAATGAACTCGAACTGCCAAACTTACCATTAGTTGCTCAG